GGCCTGTTGCGATAGGACATGGGGTAATGGTTTTAAACTAAAAGAGGGCAGATTCAGACTACATCTAAGGTATAAATATTTCCCAATGAGTGTGGTGAAACACTGGCACAGGTTGCCCAGAGAGGTGGTAGATGCCCCATCCCTGGAAACATTCAAGACCAGGTTGGATGGGGCTCTGAGCAACCTGATCTAGTGGAAGATGTCCCTGCTCATTTCAGGGGGGTTGGAATAGATGACCTTCAAAGGTCCCTTCCAACCTAAAGATTCTATGATTCTATGATTCTATGATTCACTTCCACTCTAATGCTATTAAAACAATAAAGTTATGTTGGAGATAACAGTGGAAAAATACCTTATTTACACAGACAAAATTGGTATCCATAATTCAGGTTTAGATTCTCTGGTAGCAAAATGGTAGAAACTTTTGTTTCAATTGACACAGCTTTAGAAATGTCCTTTTTGTTATCTAAGTTGATGGTGAAGTATGATCCTGATTTTAAAACAGCTGAATCACCTTATAACTGTGGTAGTACAGTACAGCACAGAAATTTTATTTATTTAAAGTGCACTACAAGCTCTTTTTTGTGACTTTAATCTTGCTGCCTTTCTATAAAGTTAACTGAAAGTAGATGAATGTAACAATTTATTTGAACAGATATTTCTTTTGTTATTTTCCTCAAAGTTCTTGATTTTGGATATCGTATGATACAATTATATTAGTATTGAATGGAACTATGTTTTTTAAATTCTATAAAATCGCTTTTAAATGGATTTGATAGATTTCAAAAACACTTCTGTGAATCTGAATGCACATACATTTGTCTACTGCAGTCAAAGCAAGCATAACTTCAAATCAAAATCCTAACATTTGGGATTGAAAGAAATATTTATAATTAATTCGATTCACTAAGCAGTATTACAAGTTTACTTGCAATGAACTAAGAAAGGACACTTTCAGATATATTGAGCATAATGTCACTGTTAAGAAGAATTGCATCAAATCTAGCAATTACATTCTTCACTATGAAAGTGTAACGAGTTATGCATAGATCTCCATTAAACAAGATTTTTTTAGAATTGAAACTGATAGAACAAAAATTCCATAGCCAGTGAAATCAATATGAATTTTAATATTGATTTCCTGAGGCTAGGATCTTAACCATTAACTTAGCTCAGAACAACTGTTAGAGACCCTCAAAGGCTAGTTAAGGCACCTGGGTGATTAAAGGAATTATCATTGATACCAGGAAGATTTTACATGCTAGTTAGATAATTAATGTACCATATACATATTTCCAAATAATAAATATGTAACTTTTGATAAAAACAGATAAAATCACAGTATTTTATAGTACCTTGTCATGTAAAGACTCTTCCAGATTTTTCCTGAAACTTTCAGATTCTTGAATCAAAACATTCTAGCAATAAAAAGATGGGGAAAAAAGCAAACAAGAAAGAAATTAGAGATATGTTAAATATCAGATATCACCATATACATGTATCCTTTCTGTACAAGTTAGCAAAGTTCATACCCACTGGACTTTAAAATAAAAATCCTTCAATGCTTCAGTTTGATATATATTACATTTTAAACATTGGAAATAATCCAAACATGTAGGACCATGTTTTTTCAAGAACAGCAAAAACTTTGCATATTCCTTGAACTGAGCAACCGCAACACTCTTACACAACTATTTCTCCCAGGTTGTTCTTTCAGCAGGCCTATTTCTTGCTTCGTACGACATTTTGTTTCAATGATATAAACCAGAAGTACATCCTCTGAGAGGTTCTGAAATGTCCTTCTGAAAGACACTGAAATACTCCCCTCAGATCAAACTGAAGGTGACTAAGCAGAAGAGGGAGGGATTAAGGAGGATGAATATAAAGGTCATGAGATTTGAGTTTTGCAGGCCCACCGTGTCTCACATCATGGAAAATCTGTAAACAACATTCCTTCTTCAAGGGTAAATGCTCCTTCTCTTGTGGTGACAACATTTCACTCTTCCCAGAGGAAGTGAGGTAAAATCAGCAGGTTAAAATACAGGAATGACAGCACATCTGAAACGTTCCTCTGTTCTCATATACTTTCTCTCACTAACTCACACCGTGTTGTGCACTGGTCCTTCACAAGCTCTTTATCACACTCCACGCTGATGAAAAAGGGACTCATAATATTCAGCATATCCAGTTCGCAGTAGTTCTGGAAAGATGCTTGAGTGCACTCTTCAATTAAGAGTTGAATGTGTAAGTTAGACCATATTTGTGGTAATGTTTGGCAATAGAAAATCAGCATGATGCCTCCATCCTGATAAAAGTAGAACATGTTTCATACAGGAGAATCTTTATTAAGCTGAACATTATACTGCTCTTTGCACTGTACCTTTTCTTCAAGTGCTGCCATTCTCTCTTTTAAGTGTAGCTGCAGACGCTCATTGGATTCTGTCAAAAGTCTGTCTACGGTATCTGATAATCTTTTGTTGTGCTCCTCATTCATTTTTTCTCTTTGCCTTGCCTTTAACGTAGAATAGAAGATACAGATTGATAGAGTCCAAAATTAACCAGTACAGACTTGTATCATTAACAAATAAAACAAAAAGTATGGTAACTCTAGCCATTTAAAGAAATTCCACAGGAAATGTAATTAGTTCCTGATTAATGCACATTCATTTTTGTATCAGCACAATACTTTGAACGGTGCAACTAGATGTCAACTAGTATATCATGATGGTTAAGTAAAGCTAGAAGAAACTGCCATCACTGCTATAAATAAAACATTTACCAGGACATAGATTTGTGTGCTGGAGTGCATAATGTAGGGCTATATTGACAAATCAAAAGAAGAAAAGTGCACAGAAGTTGTCTGCAATACACATACTCTTTGCAGTTCCTGATTCTTCTCTTCAAGTTGAGCTTCTAAGTGTCTCATACGTTCCTCGATGTTTCCATGTCTTTCTTCTGCCTTTAAAAAAATAGAAAGAGTCTTTCTGTAATTTAAGTGGCTTTGTAAGTTTTTATATCAGTAAAATTTAAACAAAACATAAAGCAAGCTACTACTAACTGCAAACTTAGTTTTCCGAAAAGAAACTTTTTTTAAACAGGCAGCTGAACAGCATTGCTTGAAATGTGTCAGCTACAAAGGCCTGTTACATCCAAGCATCAGCAAAACATTGGAGTTATTTATGAGCAATGAAATCAGCCAAATGTAACATGCAGACTGTGCATGGTTTGAACACAAACCTGCCATCGTAAAATTGTAAGCTCCTGAAGCACTGAACTGCACGATGGTTGATTATCAATAAAAAAAAAATAAAATAAGTTAAAGAAAATGAAAACAAATCAGATGGATTCTATTTAGCAATAGAAAGTAAAGTCCAGTAGGACTACCTTCCTACGTATGGAGATCATTTCTTGTAGTTTAGCTTCCATAACATATTGATAATCATCAGATGAGGTAGAAGAGGTTGGATCAGACTAACAAGTCAAGGAAAAGGAGAGGGACAAAATTGAAAAATCAGAACTAAAGACACTGACACTGAACAGAACACAGCACAGAATGCTTAAAAGAAAAGTGTGACTGAAAATTTAATACTTTTAACTGACAGATTTTTTAGTGGAATAAACTACACTGATACTTGGTGAATATGATGCAGTTGACGTGGAGAAACTGAAAATAATGGAATGCTAAAAAAGCTATCAACCTACACATGGAGGTTCAAGGTTAGTGATGGCTGGCTGATGACATATTACTACAGAGTGAATTCAAAGCAATACTGTCTAATCTAATGTTGTTGTTTTTTAATTATGGCACACTGAACACCAGAACAGGGCTCTGCAAGGCCAATGTCAGAAAGTTCTTTACAATTCTTCTATCATTTTCTAGGAATGAAAACAATGCATAAATACTAAATTAATGGATTGGTCAGTTAAAGAACTATGCAATGTTATGGTACATTCCCTAATTTCTAGAAAACAGAAAGAACGTCAAAAGAGACAAGGCTCAAGCTTTAGTATTCCATTTTAGAATACACTACATAAGCCCTTTCATCCAAATAAACAATAGAGTTTTCATCCCTTTGAAAGGATCCACCCTGGTGGATCTCTTTGGAAGATCAAGGTCATCAGATAAAAGAAGAACCTATAAATAAAAATTCATTAATAGGAATGAAAAGTCATTACTGAGTATAGAAATGGTAATCCATCCAAAGATTCATTACTGTTTCTGACAGAAGTTGACCTTAATTAGGTCATTTGTTGCAAAACATGAATATTCATGTTATTGTCATATCAAACAAATCTACGTTACCATTCAAAATGAAAAAAAAAAAAAAGCCCTTAAAGAAAGGGAAATGCTATATTGGATTTGTTGCTATGGAAACAGGAATGTGCATAAGGCATATAGACAGTGCTACTGATGACTTTGAGTTGTGAGCTCGCGCTTGTCAAATGCTATTTCACTCTGTCAGATTTACCCTCTCTCAAAAAGAGATTCTGAACTCCATCTTTAGATGAGCAAACTTTAATATGTACAAGATATACTAATTTTACAACTGTATTTTTTTGGTGAGACTCTTTCATACTGTTGTCTACTAATGATTTATCAGAATAATTACAAATAGATACCAAAGTAATTCCAGATGTACACCATAACTTAAAATTACCCATAACTTAAACTCAGGAGTATTATCAGGACCAAAAGATCAGACAGAAAATAAGCCTGTGATCTAGTGATTTATAAATATAAACTGCAAGTTTTGATATGGAGATATCCATATGAGAAAATCCTGCTTTGTTTAAATACAAGAATAATGTTTAACTTTGAAGATCACTACTATTCTTTTCAGAGTAAGTATATTCACAAAATTCAAATTCCTGCAAAATTTAAGGGAAAATCAGTATACTTTGCAACTAAACTCATTTAATAAAATAAGTGCAGTTATTGTTTCTGATCATGAAGCAGGCATACTGTGACTTATTAATTATCTGAAGCTATTTTGCCTATTTATTACAGTTTGAACCAGTGACAATTCCTTTATGATTTTCTTTATCTTATCTTTTAGTTTTACCTATTAGTTTGTTTCAGCACACAAGTGCTAACGCACTGCTTCCACTCCCAATTGGATAAATAGAAAATTAACTGAAAAAGTTAAGTCCCTGTGATTGCGGACAACCAGATCATGCTATCCCTTCCACAAAGTGACCAAGATTTATCCTCCTGTGTAGAAGATAGACTTTTCCCCTTTTTGAGTCCTGGCTGCACTATTGGTTCAAGGCCTTCCTTTAATACATCTCCAAGAGTCAGGAGATTTGAAATCATCAAACCTCTGAGCTGATAATGGAGAAAACTTAAGTAATTCTACCTCTTTTGAAATAATTTTCATTGAGGTAGATATAGAATCCATTGGGGGTATCATCCCACAAAATTAAACTACTTAGAAGCTTCATTAGCTGACTGCAAACTTTAAAAGCCAGTTACTTAATCTTCACTGTTTCTATACACTTAATTGCAGGTTAATGCAAAATATGAAGATAATGAAACTAATATATCTAGGTTCAAAGGAGATCTTATTTAAGTCTTCTTACATGTGGTGCTATGTGTCATAAGCCATCCTTGAGAAGCTGGTCTAGCCAGCTATATATTTTATCCTTATTTTTCAAACTAAAAAATGGGTTTTCAGGCCAAACAATACCATACTTTATTCCTTAGGAGGAAATAGTCTATTCAATGCATAAAATGTTTGTGGTATTAGGTTTAACTTACTTGGAAGAGGAGGAAGAGAAGGAATAAAATTGTCAGAATGATGTATGTTATCTGAATTCTTATATAGAAAACATTCTTGAAAGATCATGATGTTCTCTTAAGATTCTTATAGCCATCTAGTTCTGTTATTTCATAACTTCCTACTGCTTTAATAATCCAGTAAGGTATATGTTTAAGATATATATAAATCTTTTTGCTAGTGTTCAGTTATTTCACTAAGAATATTAAAATGTTGGTATGTACATTCTTGTCAAAAAATCTTCCTGAATGTGGGTGAGAGTACCTGTACTTCATTTTACAGCATAAAAGAAAACAGAGCTGATCTCCACATTCACCTCCCTTTACATTTCTTTGGTAGGATAAAGAGACTTTAAAATTAATTAAAATTCAATATACCTTAGAATCAAAATAAATGTCATTATTATAAAAACACATAAAATGTACTTGCATTTTTTATGTTTCCTTTATCTATGTGCATTTTATTTGTTTGTTCCTAAAGTGTTATTCTGTATTACTCTAAAAGAACCAAATTATTTTGTAACTGAGACATTAAACAATTAGGCTCAACTGCTTGTCTGGCAGAGAACAAGCACAGGTTCACAGCCTTAGTACCTACCCTGGGCTCTAATCCTGTTTAGGGATTTTAACCACTGGTTATTACATGCCAAATACATGAGCAGCCTGTGCAGCAGGGACATGAATCAAAAAGGTATCCTCTGTAAGGGCCAGGGAGATGGAAACACATGTACATACTCCCTTTTTCTCTTACTTGCAGAAACCCACCTGTAGACAGAGCTGCAGTAGGAAAGCGCAGCCCTTCCATCTCCTGGTGTGCCTAGTTGGAACATACTCCCAAAATGAGGGTTTCAACACCTCTCATCGCCCTTTACACTGAGGAAGGCCCCAACCTAGGTCTCAGAAACCCATCCAGAAAAAAAGACCTAGCAATTCAGCTATTCCCTAAGGGATTTCCAAATGCCTCCTGCACAGACTTCTCCAGGCCACTCTGTTAGGATTGACATGCCTGTGGTAGCTACACTTTTTTGTTGTCCATGTGTGTTAGTCAGCCCCAGATATTCCCACAAGAATATGCTCTTTGAGAGACTTGGGAGCCTACCATAAAAACATCAAATGTCTCCATCTCTGCCTTGTGGTTTGAGGCACACGTAGTAATGTTCCCATAGCAGAATTTCAGATACACGTGAAAGAAGGGGCCACTGTGGACTCTGAGGTTCATAAACAGAAGTTAGATTTCTTATGAAAAAAGAATCTAATCTTATCTTAACTTTGCTAAGAGTTAATTGAGTTAAAAAGTTTCTAAAGTGGAACTTGTGTCACTACTTGGCAGACCTTACCCTACATTCTTCTTTTTAATATATGACTTGCATGTCTGTTCACTAGTACCCTGTACAGGAGGATTAGTAAGGCACATGGTGTGGTATTCAGCAATGAGAATTTAAAGCATTTAGCCAGCACATTCAGTTAAAAATAGATTTGTGAAATTGTGCATCTTAGACTGGATATGGACAAAAACTAACAACGTCTGACCCCTATGAGATACCAGAATGAGTCTTGATGCTCACTTTGCACTCTATATGCTATGAAGCAGCAAAGAAATAGCCAGTATAAGCCAGTAATATACAGGAAAATTTTGCTTTGAGGGAATATCGAAGCAGTTTGCATTATTGCTCTCTAACCCTGTTAAAACTCTGCTGCTTGCTCATGCGCCCACAAAAAAAATGTTGTTTTCACATACTCTGTTACTGTTAGCACTGCACATTTTTTAGGTCTTTGCATCTTAGTTGAAAAAAAAGTAATAAATCCAATTTCAGATGCAGAAAGCACCTGTACAGTACAGGTGCTATAATTTTTCTTCCTCATACTGAGCTGCAGGAACAAATCTAGACTTTTCTAAGATACAAGCCAATTTCCACAGTTTTGGGACCTTGACTTTTGAACACCTGCCGTCTCCAGATTTTCTACTGGCTTCTTATGGCAGACATTCCTTTGGCTATCCTTTGAACGAGTGAGTTATTCAAGAAGAAAGAATGCGTTATTAAATGGAGCTATGCATCCGAAGGTGAAAATAGGTGATCATGGTGACTGAATAGCAACAGGTCACAAAGTTATCAGCTACTTGTTCACATGCTCACTTCTAACCTGTTACAAATGTGACAAAATATATTGGCTTAAGTCACCTCTTTTTCTGAAACCCAACCTTTCAGTCACTAGATATTGACACATTCTTTCCTCTCCTTTGTTTCTCCACTACCTTCTACACCTCACAGCTTTAGTAAGCAACTCCTTCTACTTAGCTCTGTCAAACCTGCTTCTTTCGCTTCTTCCTCCTACCAGGACAAAACCTTCAGTGGAAAGGGAAGCACAAGAAGAGGGGTTGTTTGAGAAGACAGTAATGTGTTGTAAATGTGGAGTTTCTCTTCCTTCTTCAGCTAACACATCATCTTCTCTTTCTCCCTTGTTCTCAGAGAGATTTCTGTCTTAACCACATCCATGTCTTGCAGAACTTTTCCCCCCTTTGCATCCTTTCCACTGCAGACCTTCTCCTTTCACTTTCTTGCAGTATCTTCCCTACTTAATGCAAACCAGATCCCCACATTGTCACAAAATAAGCATTTTGTCCCACTTGCCTCTAACTTTCAAGTCACGTTTATTACCTTTAAAATAAGCTGGAGGTGTTACTATGCTAAATGTGGTTTATTACAATTATGGTTTCTCTTCTCCATCTCAGTGCTGCTCTAATGCAGCTAAAAAGCACTGTTGGTATTTCTGGTGACCTGCATACAGGAACGATGGAGTAGAATGCTGACCGCTGCCTTGTGATCAGAGAATTGACATGGTACCTCTGCTGCACAAGCACCCGAGGGGGAGAGTGACTACCAGCTGGAGCGAGTGAATGGAAGCAGGTGGATGCTGGTTGTCTCCACTGGACCCCTCCCCTGAATACATGCAAGGGGAAACAGTGTTTGGCAGGCTAACCATCTGAAGATTCTGGACACTCCAATGTCTGTTCCTTCTGAGGAAAATAAATATCTTACAGGATAAAGAAAGGTTTAGTTAATATTGGAGGGCAGTTCTTTCTACTACCAACTGCCTCTTCTCCAGGGCAGGCAAACAGACCAACACTCTGAGAGTGAGTACAAGGTGGCTCAATGAGTCATGGCAGTCTAAATCTTGGGATACATGCTGAGAGCTGGGCTGCTTGTCATGACCAGACAGATACCAGTGTGACAGCCAGGCAGGACAGCACGGTACCTCGGATGATGCTGTTCCAGGTTAGTCCGCCATAGGCTGACTAACCCTCCAGTTGCTCACCCAATGGGCAGAACACAGTGAAAACACAGCCAAAGAAAGTTCAAATGATTCAGGTAAATTTATGGGTACTTATCTGAGTTCACTGTATAGTCCAAACTTTTGGAAGTTCACTCTTTATGAACTAGCTTGGGCATAGAAAAGTAGCAAAAAACATTCACTAGCCCATACGTATAAAGAAGAAAACCAACTCATTTTAAAAACTGACACCATAGAAGATCTCATTCTACATCCTCCTTTTGCAGAATCCCAACACAGATTTATTATGAGGAAGAGCATAATAAAATGAATGCTATGAGGAAGAGTATAATAAATTGAATGCAGAATTGTAACATGCATATTTTAAACTTGGGGTGGAGATCACATCCAAATCCAGAGCATGTTTGTTCTGTTCTATCTCCACATGTAAATAATTGGTCTTACATTTTACCCACAGTGAAGCAGTCATGGTTTCCAGTTATCCCATACTACTTTCCTTTAAAAAACATGTAAAACATTAGGCTTAACTCACCTCTTTCATATGACTGTAATGTAAGAAGACTGTAACCCCATTAATCTCAGAGAAGCCACATTCATTGAGGTAGTACAGAAGAAAGGAGAATAATTTTTGACTTTTTTGCAGTGCAGAAAGACTAGCTGATTCCGCGGGCTCATCTTTTACTTAGTGTACATGGACATGCAGCCACCATAGCTCAGGCAGGCAGACTTAAGGTAGTCTGAAGCCAGCTAATTTCAGCCCTACTGACAATATGCTTGCTCAACAAAGGCAAAATTAATTAGCCAACTAATTCAACAATTAGCCAACAAATTCAGCCCCTTAGGTAGGTCTTGCAGCTTTCACTGAAGAGCTAGAGCGGTAACAGTACACCAGCTAGCTAGTTTAAAGCTACTTAAATAAGCTGCACTGACTACAGTGTCATCCTTGGTTCCGAGCTACATTTACGCGATCCGTGAAAAGTACTGCACTTTAAACTTCAGAGCTGCCAGACCAGCACTTTAATGAGCTCTACAGTTTGCACAGATGTTGTATACAAGATATCTAAAACACATGCTTATTTGGCCTATTGGACAAATTCTGACATTCTTCTTCATGCCATGTACTCCAAGAAGACACAATTTTAAATAAAATTAATTTCTTCAGTTTTCCATGTGATCACAGAGGAATGAACAGAACAGTCATTACAGTCTAATATACTTCTTAGAGTTTCCTGCTTAGCAAAACCTTGGATAAAGTGAAATGGGGTGGAGCATCAGCTGTGTTCACAGCTCTCTAACCACATCCCATGAAATAATGTAAGAAGACAAACAGAGATGTATACTGCAGCTTTATGGTCACAACAACAACAGTATCTCATGGAAGTCCCTGAGTGCTCTGCATGGCTGAAATGCAATTTCTTCTTACAATATGTGTCATTAATATATGTTCAAGGAAAAATGCAGTTGCAAGAAAAGACATGCTTGAGACTGCAAAATACTTACTGGTGCCTAATTGCTGGAGAAATTATTCAGGAAAAATCCTCTTAAAATAGAAAACAGTATTTTTAAGCTACTGAGGGCATTAGAATATGTGATTATTCGTTGAAACAGAAACAACTGAAAAAAAAAGTTAAAATGCCAAGGGACTGCTCTTATGTGCACCTGAGCTTTTATTAAAATGCAATGATATTTATTTGGTATTTCCTGTAGTTCTCTTTTTGCTGATTCTTCTTTTTTTCCACCATTTTCAGTCTCTCTTTCAGATTCCCACCCATTCATATAAACCTAAAGTGGATAGCACAAAATCTTGATTACTGAATAATGATCTTGCCTTAACAAAATGTAAAAACCCACAACCCAAATCCCCCCAAAGCCTCTTTTTCTTTCTTTCTTTCTACTTAACTAAATTACTTAAAAATCCAACTTTATTAATGAGCTGCTCAGCACTTAAGGCTTCACTATAAATGGAAAAACATGATAACTGAAAAAAATCCGTCAAATTTAAAAATAGCTAGGCACATAAATAGCTAGAAACACTCCTTGGCAATAGAGAAAGGAAAGCTCATATACATCAGAGTGATATGTAATACAATCTCTTAAATGCATTTTTCTTTATTTGTCTGATTTTAAGAGATGAAGAATAAACATATTATCATTATATCTCTTTATGAAGCTGATAATACCTGAGCTACAGTATTAACTACAGGCATACCTGAAAGTGTTAGAGGCTAAACATGAAAACTGCACTACTGAAAATGTATTTTTATCTTCTTATTTTTCTGCAAGAAAGCTGCCATATAATAAATTTATCAGAAAAAACAGTTTGAAGTCCTTTTAGGGTCTCACACTTGTCTTTGCAGATATATGATACAAAGAATCATTCAAAGCAAACTTTGTACTGCAAGTTGTCTTCATTTGTGTTTTACAAATCAACCCAGCTGCCACTAAGATTTGATTTTATAGCCCTTATTGGAATGAAAATAATCGTTGTTTAATATTCATGGTGTATGAAAACGTCCAGAAGAACTAAGTAAGTGTAGGAGTGGGATTTCCCTCCACCCACCTCCCCTTAAATTAGAAACTCTTATACAGTAAAATGAGTATTCCTAGGATAAGTAATACTCACATGTATTGGAAATATATGACTTCCTTGTAAATATACTCTAGGCTAACTTACATATAACTACTTTTCCTGTTACCAAAATGCTAAGAATTACAAACACGGCATTGAGACCATTCCTGGTTAAACTTATCAGGACATACTTATCAGGAAACGTTTTCTTCTTTCAGATCAGCTTGATACTACTTTGGTTTTGTCCTTGAGGTAAGGAATTGGGCTGCGAACCAGCATTAAACAATGGGGTGTCTGAAGTGAACCTATTTTCTCAGGGCAGTACCTTAGTCAGAGCTGCAATTCTCTGAGCCAGTTCAGCCTCCACTTCAGGTAAGGTTTCAGCCTTCCTCATCGTCTGCTGCAGCTTCTGCTCAGCCAGCTCTAGACGCTCTTGCAGCTGTCTGTTTTTGTCTTCCAACTGAAGGCCAAAGATAGATAAACAGGTATTGAAAAAAAAAACCAACAGAATTAAAATTTTCCTTTAGTTTCTGAGGTATTGGGGAAGTGATCAAAACTCACTACATAGGCATAGATACTCCACAACCTGGAAGACCTTATTGGAGAGGTATTAACTCAAGCATGGAACAGTGTAGGCTGCCAGTCTTACTAATGATGAATGATCTGAGGCTCAAGGTTCATATGCAGGTGAAGAAAAGGAGCTGTAAAATAGAACTACTGAAGATGAACAAAAAGCTCCTTGTTGTTTACCCGAGCAAAGTAAAAGCATTGGTGCCAGTAAAATAAGAATTTTCCAAATAGAAATATTGAGTCCATCTCACAGAAGAGTTTATGTATAAGCTAAAATGGGAAAGAGTACAATTCCAAAAGGATAGAATTCCCAGCAAAGTTTCTGAAGAAATTGCCACATGCAATTTTCTGAACAAATGCCTTTCGTATATTAGGAAATGTTAAAACTGACATTTCATTCATCATCATAACCTGGTTGCTATTTGCTTAAGGTTGCAGGGATATAGTTCATTGTGAACCTACAATTAAGTCTTTACAGAGGTGAAATCGATTAATCTGTGATAAACATGAAATATGAACAGGACTTTTGAGAACTGCAGTATTTTCTGGTCTGCTGAGATACACCACAGGATAAAGAATTTTTAATGGTTTGGTAAGTGATTCTTTCCTTCCTGTTCATTCCAGGTAATAGAAGACATAATGAAAAAGATTTTAGATTCTGTTTTAATCCTTCAAAAGCATGAAAAGGTGGACTTTTCACATTACAATGCTGCAAATCAACTTTAAGTATGCCTGTATATATTCTAAGCCTAATGCTATTGATCACTGCTTTGAGGAAGTGGACCTCCGCAGCACAGCGTGACCTACATTGGCAGCAATCAAAACTCAGATGCAGGTACCTTACTTTTCCATTATTGGGTGTTTTTTGGGGGTTTTTTTGGCTAACAATTGAAGATACCTCTTAAAATAGTTGAGGGAAGCTGGAGAGTTTGAGTTCTGATGCTTTAACTTCCCTGAAGAGGTAGTCACTTACATGTATATAAATATGCACAGAGGGATGCGTGCATGTGTGTGTAAATATACCTGCATCCAGTCATAGAAGCAGAGATTATCAGATCATACACACTTATTTCCCATATAGCGTTTTATATTGTTTGAAGACATGATAGATGAAAAAAATAAAGAAGTCTGATACTGTGGAGCAATATTATCTTTTACAGTTTGAATTATATTCATCTCATGTTAGCTTTCAGTTCACATTGTATTCTTCAAATTACAAATCGGTGTTTTCTGTTCATTTTACACTCCAGCTTTTGGAATTACTGTGGAGACAAAGTACCATGACAGAAAGCTGCACAATCATGTTATAATCTTCTTTTTTAAAAAACATATTCAGGGATAATTTAGCTTTGTAAAATTTTATTTACATACTACTAATATGTGAAACAATAAGAATATATTGTATGCAAATTTTGATCTTTCCTGCACGAGGGAGTTTATTTTGGTTATACTATTTTTTTGTTTTCTTTTTTTAATAAAATTCAGAAAATTACATAAGAAGCAAAGATAATCCTGTACTTAGGGTATATGACTATGTGCATTTATGCAAGACACTATCAGAAAACACAGTTATTTTCCAATGTTGAATGTACACATTGGTTTGGTATTCACAGTCAGAGTAGCTGATAGGAAGTAGCTTAGAGCTTCTGAACAACTTAGGGGGTTTTTTAGATTAACTGATCTGTTGATTAAAAATGAACAGATTAACCTAATGGAAACCTTCTCCTGTAGATCTGCTCCCTTTTTGCATTAGTTTTCACGGTGTATGAAGAGAGCAGCTAATGCAGATACTGCACCTGGCGTAGGATGGCTTCCTTGTTTGCCAGTTCATTTTCCAACTTATCGTTCATGTCATGTATGGAGGTGGATTCTCTCTGTGCACTGAGGTAGCGCTTCTCCAGCGTCGTTATTCTTTCTTCCATATCTTCCTTTTGTGCCATTGCCTAACATGACAAAAAACCCATCAAGAACCATGCAATTAAAACGTTACATAATTTTATATATACCACTTTAATTTTCATGCTAACACCAGACAGGGATGTACAGTATGCACAGCAGTAACTTTTCCTTTTTAAAGATAACTTATTTCCTTTGTGATTTTTTGTAACTGTGATATTTAGAGTGGTAGCTGTTGAGTAGAACAAACAGAAACAACCCTCACCTTTGTATAGTTTTCTAGTTCTATATTTTTCAATGCAAAAAGACATAGCAACCACAGCTCACATTTACTTGCTTGCATCTTAAAATACAGCAGGCTTGATCAGAAAATAGAAAAACTGATATATTTACATATAGTAGAAACATAGTGCAGTGAATATGGGGAAAAAACCATATATGAGCATTTCTACTCTTATTCCTGGGTCCTGCTAAAATTTTCTGCTGAAGTACATGTAGCATTCAGCCTGTGACTTGTCCTGAAAATTTAGGAAAACAAATTACCACAATGTTGGATACATAATATAGCCATAATATATGGGTATGTTATCCATATATGTTACGGATAAGGATTTCTTTAAGATCTTGAGCTGTTTATATTCATGTATTACAAGCTGGCCTCACTGAAACTCAATAGCTGTTAATTTAGACAGATTATTCATTAGTCTGTCTATTACAGTGTTTATGTCTCTTCCAATAATTTTACTGAAAGCAGAAAATTTTATTTATTTTAAACTTGTGCCTGACTCTTGAGAAGACTTACATATTGCCACGTTTCACAATGAAATATTTACTGATGAGCATATCTTGCTGTTTGTGTTATATTACGTTATGAAAGTAGTGTTGAAGTGCAATGATTATTTTTCAAGTAAGGCACAATGAAGATATAAATGGATCCAAATAGCTAGTCCTAAAATGGACCATATCCAGGTGATATATAAAAATAGTAATTACGTATGTAATTCATTAAAAACACACAGGGAAAAAAAAATCCAATATTTTATCCAAGTTACACAATACTAAACCACTCTTCTTGTTGCAGGAATTTAATTTTGTGCATTGAGAAGACTCTTTTGTCACAGTCCGAAATAATGAAGACAGGCACTTCCACCTTTACAAACACCTTTCGCAGCAGATTTTGCGCTGACATTTGGTAATTACTCTACATGCAAATGCATTAGTGGCCACTTCACTTAGGAAGCAAAGGGCTGACAGCAAGTAAGCCTGTAGCTGGTGTAATGCGGTATTTAAGCAAGAAACAGCAAAAGAAAGAGGCAGAGTACAAAGATGTGAAGACACTTTGAGGCTGTGTCAGGCATCAGAGGTTCTGAAGGAACATTTCTTCCAGAATACTAGAAATAACAGGTTAAATATATACATACAAATGCCTATATATATATACACATACATAAATCCATATGACAACTATATTGTAGGAAGCAGTGTAACAGAAAGGTAACTACTCTAATTTCAAAATACTAAAATAGATTCTAGAAGCCAACCATCCACATATACTGAGAACATCCACATAAGAGAAGATACTCTGGAGAGTACTAAGGAGCACCACAAATTTAAGAGGAGGAAAGAAAAGGAAAACTGAATTATATTTCCATTTATTGAGAGAAGGGAAAAGCATATGAAGTAATGAAGTTACCACACAAGAGTAAATATTATAATTGATTATATAAATAACACAGTTTTATAAAACAGCCCAGGAGTTTTAAAAATGTGCTTTAAACTATCTACATGACTAGCATTTCTATTAAACAGAGTTTATCTTAAAAACTTGAAATAGCTGAAAACTTGCCAGAATGCACTCTAGTGATCCTAAACCACAAAGGAGTTTGCCTTCCTCCTATTAGAGTTGCACATATACACACCCACTTTTATGAACAGGGTTTTATAAAGAGATTTCTAGTACTATTTCTCAATGTAAATTTTGTGTTTCTTACGTACAAGGGCTTTTATCAGTGCTCAACTTTTGCTGCCCACATTAATTGGCCTCTATAAGTTTGTAGTAGGTATCACAGGAACAACAGTCCAAAAAAATGAGATGAGTGTGGTGAACTCCTTACCTCTCTAATGTCTCTCTGATATTTACTGTTCATTTCTTCTGTTTTAATGAGCTCCTTTCTGGCAGTCTCTGCTTCCTGCTCCACCTCTCCCACCCGGGAAGACAATGCAGCCAAACGCTCCTTCATTTGTGCCATTTCATAGTTTTGCTTTTCCAGTAGTTCCTGAAGTTCAACAACTTGACTGGCTTCATCATTTGAGTCTATGGAGCCATTTGATAGGCGCTGTTAACAGAGAAGTGACATTTATTTTTTAATGTGGACTCTATCTAAGTAATTTCTAAAACAAAGATTATTTTAAAAATTACAAAAGCAACAAAACCACAATAATATTCATGGTAGAGAGATGTAGGTAAAAAAAAAAAATTGCAAAATATTGGTATTTGTTCATATCAAGGGATTCCAGAATGTGACATCACTTAGAGAAGTAAATGTTTGCATTAAGAGCAGAATACTGTACAAAAATACTTTAGTTTGACATTAGGACTACTCAAGTACAAATTGCAACAATACTACTCTTAAAAAGCACCAAATTGCAGGCATACGTCTTTCTTACCTAAACTCACACAGCATTTAACCTTAATCAAAGTCTATTTCATTTGCAAAACAGGCCATGCTGCAGACAGGAAGCAACACTAATAAATCACAAATTCACTGTACCAGAAAGTGTTTAGAGTCTGGGCAGCGTATTGGTTAGGTCTACATTAGAAACAAGCTCTGCTGAAGTAATTTGTGTGCTGCTGAAAGCCCTGGTATGAAGATAGTTCCAAAGACAAAAATCATGAGTCCAGAACTCGTATTGCATTTGGAATATGATCTCAGGAATATGACTTACATTGCAAATAAATGATTTCAGGAAAGAAGCGCATTCACTAGCAGGACTTGCTGGCATTGCCTCATTATAATAGATAGTCATACTGACCTTTTCCAGTAGAGGCCAAGCCATGGTTTCATACAAATTTAGTTACCACATGTCAAAAAAATAGGCAAAAAGAACAGCAAAAATATTTTGATTTTGACCTATAACATGAAAAAATAAAACCAAAGCAGTCCAACCTGTCATTAATTTTCTTGAGTAGGTGCAATTTTATCAGTTAAATTTATATTATGCAGTATGGGAACAAAGTATTTCACTGTAACTGTCATTTTAAATAGGTTATTGACCTCAAAGAGCATTGTACAGGAATATGGGTCCTAAAAGGCGCTTATTGTCCTTCAGATGGTAGGGTGTGTAGCAATGTATATATGAAATATTCCTAGCAAGATCTGAGAGGAAACCAAACTTTCTTTCATTAGCACTTCTGTATTATTTTCAAAATATATTTATACAGAAATCTAACAAATTCAAAGAACGCTTTTCTTAATGGCTTTAACAACATTCTTTCCCCAATCAACCATAAAATGAACCCAGATCAAGACCACCTGCCCCTCTGCAGATCATTGAATAAAATTATTTCACTCTAAAAATTTATTACATCAAATGGTTCCAAAATTGCTTTCTTTATACTAGTGAATTATATTATCTTGACATTTTATATCAGCTACTACTTGCAGGACACCATGGTAAAATGACAGCAATTAAAAAACTTATTTACACTCTGTTTGTTGTTTGGAAAGTGTTCAGTTAATCTACTTGAATCAAAATCCCATTAATATGCAGCAATCACATATGTAAACAAAATAGTACTCAAACAGGATAAAACATTGTAACCATCATAAATTATTCCATTGTGTAAATTTGACATAACTTTTTTATCCATGATAATTATAATCTGGTTTACAATTTTAATCTCATACAATAATTATTTCAGCAGTTGCCACAGATGAACAAATTTTACCTTGCATTGAATTTGCCCTACAACTGTCTAAATAGTAGTACAGGAACTGCTGCAAGGTTATAATAAGCCAAATACCAAATCTGAAAAGCAATAAATGGCATGTGATCATGTATTTTATGTGATATAAACCATGGTGATTTTAAAATTACAAGCTATGATATCTAGGAGTACGTTCACTGGCAGAGAAATTTATTTTTGTTAATACAACTTTTTTCCTTAAGATATTAATAACCCAACCATGTATAAATTAAATGTGAAAGATTTTTTTCCCACTAATTTACGTAATATCTGAGATTTCTGGAAAGAGAAATAAAAATGTATTTAGAATCAATCTCTCACCACTAGACAAATGCTGTGACTGCCAGTTATGCATGCATATATTTTGATTTATGCACATAAACTTCCCTCATAATTCTTTGATGAAGTCTTTGTACAAGCCGCTTTAATTCTACTCATTGTTCACTTTTGCTTTACATTATTCCTGTATTGATATATAGAGCTGGTTGGTATTTAAAATTTCCAAATTATCACAATGTCAACATTTTAATTTTTCTTAGTATGATTAAGATAAAAAAGAGTTTTCTTTAAAAATCCAACTAAAAAATAAAAAAAATCAGGTTAAAATTTGGTATTTTTAGAATTCTGATGCATATTTTTTTTACCTAAATACTTTTTTAACATAAGTTTACCCAGGGCTTTAACTGACATTTTGTCATTTTTATGCCTTGCTATTATTTTATGATATATCCATTATATGGAATAACGACTGCACAAGACCACAGGTAGAAAGTTATTAAGCATTAATTCAAGGAGTAACTGACACAAGAACCTCAGGTTCTCAGGACAGCTTTTACCACTGGCTTTATGGTCATAGTTTCCCCTCTCTCCAAAACAAAAAAAGCTTGAATAAGAATGTGGAAATATGCTATGCCAGTAGAAGCAAAAGGCATCCTGTATATAATGCTGATTCAAACACGTTTTCTGAATTAGTGAAAGGAGCAGGAACCTCCCATGCCCTAGAGTAATTTCCTACAAAATAAGCTAGGGGACAGAACTTCAGCATCTTCTCTTCTTTATTTGTTTTTAATTTGGAATTTTTTTTAAATCTGGTTGAATTTTTTGTGATGAAATATTTCCTGGTACTCGAAGAGTTTTCTGTTGATGATGTTGTGTATTAATCATAATCCATTTGTAAATAAACAATTAGTTGAATGCTTCTAATAATGAAAGCCAAGTTTTGAATAGATCTGTGTGAATTATTACCTGAAGCACTAAGGGAAATTTTCTGAAAAGAGAATGCATAAAAGAAGTTTCAAAGTAGACATTCTTAACTGTCATATCCCTACACTACTCAAAATCCCCAATATATGCAAGAAATAGTGTGCAATTAGTACAGAAAGGGGGGAAAAAATAAAGCACTGAAAGTAAGCTGAAACAACTGTGAAGTCTTTAAAGGAGGGAAGGAACATTAAAGAAAATATTCTAACCAGTTGAAACATTCTAGCAGAGAAAACAGAAAATGTACATGCTCCCCAGATCTGGCGTACAAGTTAGTCACCCAGATAAAGTCTTCAACAAATTTCATGATGCTGTCTATCAAATGTGGTCATGAATAAGCTACCTATGGAAACATTCCTTAATTTCAAGTTTCACATAAAAGTATCTACTAGCAATGTTTATTTTTTCTTGAAAAAAGAAATGTGGCAAATAGTTCATGTGCACCAATGCTTCACTTTTTTTACTAACTAGTTTATCCAGTTAAAGACAATCCATCTGTTTCTATCACATTTACTTACTTAGACCACAGTGCTGCAGAAATGGTATCATCGTATCTTCTTGATTACATCTTTTTTGCTTTCAACAGCGACAGCAGGTACACACAGCTGCAATGTGTGGGTCTCTGCCCTCCCCCCATTCCCCCTCCGGGGGGTTTTCTCAGCCAGGTGAGAAATCTGGTTGGCATCAACCTGGAAGACCTAACACAACCTCAGGCGTCTTTGCTTGGGCTAGTTCAGAGCAAACAAAGGTAAATGAGCAACTACATCTGTACCCAGCAATGTAGCACTCGCTTGCCTCATCACTGGGAAGAATGGGGGAAAGAGCAAGAGGAAGGCCTGCTGTGAGTTTTTGGAGGTGGTTTTTTTTTTTTTTGCAATATATCACCGTATACCACCAGATAAATAATTGAGAAATCACAGTCCATACTAAGGGTTTCAGAGATACTCTTACTTCATAAAGAAAGCTTTTACACTCGTCCAAATACAGCAAAATGAGCTAGGAGGAGAAGCAGAAAGGAGATGAAACACTCGTCAAGTAAATCTGATGAGAGTGAGGGTACTAACTACAACAGAGGCAGCATACCGCAGAGGAAATCAAAGTTCAGAAAATACCCTGTAGGACTGAGTGCCATAAAGGGTAATACTGATTGAAAAAGAAAGGTCTAGGGGAAAAAATCTTTGAATTGCTTACGATCTGTGGAAACGGAGGAGGGAAATAAATGTTCATGTTCCCTACAGCTGAACAGTATGAAAAGGGAACCAACATCCCTGGTGTCAGATTTTCTTTCTTTCAAGATCCAAAAAGCACAGCAGTAAGGCAATCTGCTGCTTGTATAGGAGTGTCAGCAGGGAGAGGAACAGCAAATTGGAGCGTTACACATAACAATAAATCCCCCCTAGACTGTTGCTTCTCTCCCCTATTCTCTCTGCCATGAAATAATAAAAGGAAAACCATCTGCAGACTGGTTTACTAGTGAAAAACAAGAACAATGGTAAAAGAAACACCAGGAGAAAGTGTAAAAAAAGACTAACACAGAATATTGTAGCCTCTGTTAATCAATTTCACATTGCCCTTTCAATTAAGCCTTGGCAATAACACTGAGTGCAACCTAAGCACAGGTACACTTAAGTTTATATATACATACATACACACATATAAATAAAAGACACCAGACTACGGCATTTAGCAAAGAAATTGTAAAATTGTCCCAGGCTGTTGATTGCAATGTACTTCATTTTGTTTTGTAGAAAAAACCTTACATTCAAGTACATATGTGGCAAAATATGCCTAGGAACCTAATTTTATAAAGGCAAACCCCAAGAACAGTAAAAAGGACCTTCAAGTGATATTTTCTCTCCACTTGTAAAACATCTGATACAGATATGTCTGGTCTAAATACTATCAACCAGTAATTAATTATGTATTTTGTGCTAGAATTTAACCTCAGAGAGTGGTGAGAAGGAACAAAAGACTATCTCACAGGGTTACCTCTAGAACTCCTCATCAGTGCCTCTCAGTTTGTTGCAGTACAAGCGCAGGTGATTCATGATGCCCACGGGCATAAGCATTTCCATGCCTGAGGACTAAATTAAGGTCTGTCTAACC